ATAGCAGCCTCAGCTTTTTCTCAGTTGACCTGTGACCTGGAAGAGAAAAGCTCTGATAATCCTCATAACTACGAAGTAGACTAGTTCCAGAGGTAGGCACCCTTCCACTAATCCTCTAATAGAGGAATTAGCTTCTCATTTAACGGATTACCTTTTTTCTTTTCTTTTTTTTTTTTTTGCTAGCTTTGGAAACCATTAGCAGACCAAGTAGCTTCTGCTTGTTGATTAGGTTCAGCTAATTTTAAGTCTATTAAAACAGCAAGTGCGAAACGTCTTTTTTTTATACCTTTTAACCCAAACTAAATTTTATTTATCGTTATTTAACCAGGCAAGTCCCGTTGAGATCTCAGATCTCTTTTTCAAGGGAGGCCTGGGCCTGAAGGCAACCTATTGTACATGTTTTTAGGGGTGGGTGAAACCGGAGTACCCAGAAAAAACCCACACAAACATGAGGAGAACACGCAAACTGCACACAGAAAGACCCCAGGTCCAAACCGGGGATCGAACCCAGGACCTTCTTGCTGTGATGCATCAGTGCTAACCACTGAGTCGTCGTAAAACTATCCTCTTACAAGCAGCGCAGGAAGTGTACCGTGTGTGTGGCAAATAGCATCTTTGGCAGCTAAAATTCAAAACCAAGAGTGTCAAAAAGAAATAAAACATTTAACAATAAATAATGAATACAAAATTCTTTATACAGAAGATATTGTAGAGAGAAAGGAATTGTTGTTTTATTAGCCTATTTTTAAAACTAGCTACAAACTTGATCAAAGAAATGCTTTCATAAAACATTTTAAAGGGGTCAACTGGAAGAATCACAAGTAGAGCTATAACTCTGGTTCTGATTGAATTAAATGAACAGAAAACCGACAAGTTTGTGTCTGTCCCTGTCTGGAAAGAGAAAAAGCCTTGTGACAGCTGTCTTAGCATTAGCATTAGCTTTCACTAAGTTTTATTAGCAGTTTAATTGTTAAGATTCTTATCAGACTGGTGGTTTGTGAACCTAACTTTTTGCTTAGCTGTGCCCACCCCTGCCTTTTTCCTTTCATCTTCTCACACCTGCCATCTGTTTCCCATCGTCCCGCTCTTCCATCTCTCCCCCGGCGAGTGTTGGTGAGGTGCAGATTTATGAAGCGGCTGAGTCGCTGATGGCCGCAGTCCAACCAGAAGAAGTGATTTGTTCAGAGATTAAAGACAGTGACAACAACGAGCTCTAATGATGTCATGGACAGATCATCAGTATGAGTCGAGCGTGTGTCCTTCTCTGTAGCAGCATCTCTGTAGTCTTCTTTGTTTTGAAAAGATTAGTCGGACACATGAATCTTTCAGCACTGCAGAGACACTGTTCTTTTTTAATCACACCCTTTCCTCCTTTCAAAAAGTGCCGTTATCTATAAAAGTTTGTTTTGCCAGTTTTCATTTGATGACTCATCCTCGTGAGGCGAACCCTTAATGGGTTTAAATTGATTCTCATTCATCTCCTGCATTGAAACAACCTGAATAGCATTTTATTCAGAGTGCTGATTTAGTGGAATAAGCAACCGGACATTTATTTTAGGAAATGACCAAAGATAGTCAGAGAGGTGACCTTGAGTCCTCTCCATCCAAACCTCCAGCTGTTTGTGTCCCAGATCGAGCGGTGGTGTTGCTGGTGCTGTTGGCACCCCTCCTGTTCTACCTAATTACCTGTGTGATGGAGCGGTGCCCACCACTGTGTCACTCAGTGTCAGGGTGGGCCCACCAAGCTGACTTGGTCTCACCTGACTCGACTTTCTTTCTCTTTCTTGTCAGCTTTTTATGCACTTTACGGACACTTAAAGTGGACAATAGTTCATGAGGCCCAGCATAATCAGACACTCTGGTTTCCTCCCACAAATCAAAAACACGCACATTAGGTTTAAATGGTAACTCTAAATCATCCTGTAGTGTTGATTAGAGTGGGATTAGTTGTCTGTGACGGACTTGAGAGACCTGACCAGGGTGTCCCCTCATACAGTGACGGCTGGAGAAAGACACCGGCTCCCCGAGACCCGGAAAGAAGCGGCGGGAAAAGAAAATGCATGGATGGAATTTCGACTTCTTTCACTAAATCTGCATAAGGAGGAAAGTGGAAACTATGAGATCAAATTAACCCCCTGAATATTAACTGTTGCTGTGCAGAGCTGAATTCACTTGAATGCTTCTCTTGAAGTGCCGACACACTCTGGACTTGACAAAGACAATATTTGCATTAAGAAAAGGTGCACATTAAGATGTCAAATGCTCTTTCTTTTTAATTGAACACTATTGTTCACAACGGCGAACATTGTGTGTTTATTCTAAGGCTGTTCCTTACAGAGATGTTTGTGCATTCATTGACGATGCACCGTCTTGTTTGATCTCCCAGGTCTGAGAACCTGACCCTGGGTTTGTTCAGGTGAACAGAGGTCTGTGTTTATAACATTGATCCTCTTATACATAACCTGAATCCTTTCTGCTCCGATTGTCCTGCACTTTGGAGAGTACTTATTTTAAGCGAGAGTATTTGAGCATCATTATGCTTAATAAGGTTTATAGATTTGCCAATGCCCAGGAAGAGTTGTCCCCTTATTACTGTACATTACAAGGCAGTGTCAGACGTGTTTGCACCGCACTTTCTTCCATCACATACAGCAGGTAAAATAAGTATTGAACACGTCACCATTTTTCTCAGTAAATATATTACTAGAGGTGCTAATGACATGAAATTTTCATCTTCATCATCCTGGTAGATGGAAGCAGATTTTTATCAAGAATGTCTCTGTACATTTTTCCACTC